CTCTCTCTCTCTCTCTCTCTCTCTCTCTCTCTCTCTCTCTCTCTCTCTCTCTCTCTCTCTCTCTCTGTGCTCAACTATACAAAATATAATATGTGTTGCATGGACATTTAATTTCAATATTACGCTACTGATTTCAAATTAATATTAATTTGAAACTGTCAATTTATACATTTACAAAGTTGTTTTGGGAAAAAAACGACTATTGTAAAAAAAGGATGAATATACAATATATAGATTTATAGAGGACTCGTAGCTATCAACGCGTTTAATCTCGCGGTACATTTGAAGAATTCGAGAGCTGATTAAATGTCTCGTTTAAAAATATAGTTTCCCGATCGGGAAGTGCTAGCTAAGGTCGCTGAAAAACACAACGGCCTCTTGACAGAGAGGGTGTTTTCTCGCTGGGAGATACGCTGACACTATTACAATAAAAGACTTAGATTTCTTCCGTCGCGTTGGTGCATTTAAAAAAATTCCATAAATTATACTTGCAGAGAGCGACAGGAAGGCATTTGAAAAACTGTTAAATATTAATGTCGCCGCAGTCGCTGTGTGTATCAACAAAGCGGTGCGTTCGATGCGCAAACGAAACGTCGAAGGACATGTTTTCAATATCAACAGGTATTGTTACCTATGATTCGTACGTTAACAATGACTGAATAAGTGCCGCAAATCTTTGGAATAAATAAATTTATTCGAAAGGCAAACGTTTTCTGGGTTTTTCGTAGACCACAAGAAAAGGTTTGCGAAAAATCTTTCTACAAAATTCACTGTGCGCTATATGAACTTTTGACGTGCAGTGTTTTAGGCCATTATTTATTGCTGAACGCTGCGGATGATTTTCCTGACTTTAATTTGTATCCCGCTACTAAGCATGCATCTGTTGCTTTGACTCACGTGGTACGACGGGAATTAGCGGTTATTAAGGCCCCTATTCGAATTACTGTAAGTTGCGATCATATTTCGAGTTTCTTATTTCTTGTTGTTCCATTTTCTAAGGTTCCTTTATATAAGTGATAACATTTAATTAACAACAAACGTATTAAAGTATTATTTATGGTATCGCAATATTGTTATATTGGCGACAAACTATTCTGCGATGAGAGAATAAGAGTAATTGTTGCTTGTGCATATCAATATAAGATGAAATGTTATCGTAAAGTTTATAATATTAT